TACAGACAGCACTTCAGACAGCAGTACGCTGTAGTCGACAAACATTCATTTTGGTCAAATGCAGGACAAGGGGGGTGATGCTGCTGCCGTAGTCGATTTGTAGTGTGTGGGCGAGTAGTTCAGTTGTGAGCATGCAAACCTGCTGCAGGGATTGCAGGTGTACCTCCTCGGGCTTGCGTACCCTTCTCTTCCTAATAGTGTGTGTGTTCTTTAGATCTTCTCATGGCTCTAGCATTTTTGTGACCACGGACCGAGTCTTCGCTAGATTTTGGGATTAGCAACTGACACGAGTTTAATGTGAAGAAAAACAACAACAACAAACAACAACAACAACAACAACAACAATACAATACTTGAACGGTTTTTCGCAAGCATTACCATGGTATGCTACCAAACCTGCGTACAAGTTCCATATTCAGAAATTTATGGAAACGTTTCGCTGGCGAAAAAAAAAGAGAAACCATCTCATACCTCACACCCCGCCCAGTCAAACTGCAGCAGTCAGCTTGCATGACGACAGCGCGGTTGATTACGCTCAATTCAAGTCCTACTTGCACCGTGCCGACAAGTTCAATACGCATTGGACAACATGGGAGGGCCAGACAAAAGCGCGCACTCTGATCGGGATCGCAATGGCTCGGAGCCTCTCAGCGTTGAGGGCCATAGCACCGTCGATGTTAACACCGGGGAGTTGATGTGGGAACCCGAAGAGGTGAGGCTGTAGAGCTTAGACTACAATAGCCTAAAGCAGGCCACTGCTGTCCTATTTGCAGCAGTGATGGAGCCGCATGAGCTGTGTAAATGGTGATGCCTCCGGTATTGTCGTTTCGAAACGTTCAGCTCCGTTAGTCTCCCTCTAGCCAACGGGTGCGTGGCGGACGTACTCTTGGCGTGTCTCGGCCGGAAATTGCGAAATTGCACACCCCGGGTTTGCCGGACTTGTCGATGCTGCTGCTGTGTAGTTTGAGCTTGCGAGGAGGTTCGTGACAAAGAGCCCCACACGCCCTCCCTCGCGACAAGACGAGTGAAGCATATTTAGATGTGCAGAAAACTATTGAGGCGCTGAGGCGTGTGTGAGAGGCGACCGCAAAACGCTGTTTCACCTTCGCATCTGCTTTTCACCAGAGTTTGTTTTTCAGTTGAAGCTCGGTTCCATATAGACTGGCTAAACGTGACGTTGTAGGCGGCAGAGCTATGCATACAGCAGTTTGGATGCCGATCTATATGCACACACATGGCACACGAGCCATTATGGTGCAGTTGTGGTTCTCTTTCACGCTGCATGGGAGGGTGTTGTTGTTCGCAGTTTGCAGTCGCACGTATTCCTCATGCACCACTTTACTATTTTGAAACAACAACGAGTCCGTAGGATTGTGAACCCTCAGAAAGAACAACAGCAGTAGAGAAGCCTCTGTTGGCAGGTAGGTAGCGCAACTTGACTCGAAGTCCACGCGGGCTTGTCCACCATGCGAAATGAGAACACAGAAATGCTAGTCTCTTTTTGGCCGACGGTCGACCAGCCGGTTGTTTGAATCATATACCAAATCACCTCGTTGAGCGGCGGCGGACCGGTGAAGTTGCGTAAGTGTACGGCAGGTTGGATTGACCAACACCGAGGCATTCGCGCACGTACTCTGACGAGAGCTGAGGTGTTTGGTGCTTGAGCCGCATCGTGCTCGTGGTGCGCCTTGCAATTGCAGCTGTTCTAGAACACGTACCTTGAAGGTTCGAGTAGTACCAACTATGGGGCACTCGGAAGATCGATGGCCGATGATACAAAGTTGCTGTGCAAACTTGCAGAGATGTGCTCATTTTTCACTCTCGCTCTTTTTCTATCTTCATTCAAGTGCCTAAAATGAAAAAAAGCGTGTTCACCGCAAGAACGGAGTAGGGTACATTGTAGTGTTCTTGGTTCGCATAGATGCAAATGCCAAAATGGTGAAGCGTTTTACCTCAGCATCCAGTGCGCTTCATAAGAGACGGTACTGACCACAACGAAAAAATCGTTGAAACGCACTCGGACAGAAGCAAAAACTATTCCGGTGTGTGTGTACCATGTAGTTCATGCCATGGAATATCCACACGGAGGTGTTCCCCTCGGGCGAGTGCGGTTTCGCTCCCCCTGCTGCCTTTTTACCTGTCCAAAATCAAAAGAATCAATTCGGTCTTTGCTGCTGTTGTACACACATGTCTCGCACCCGAGGTGATTACAGATTGTGCGATAACTTGACAACTTGAGCACCTTTCTTCGGTCAAACGAAGACTCCAGCACATCTCGTCCGACTGGGGGTATATCTTGAACGGGTAGTCTTTTTTTGTGTGTACAAGTGTGTATTGTTTGTCGTTATGAAAACACCGGACATGTTTTCTCTCCCGCATCCATGGTGGTTGGATGCAAATACCTTCAGGCACCCTGGGGAGGGAACTTCGGTGTTAGTACCCCACATTTGCTGACATTCAGTCGATTTCCCCCGAGGTCCAGAGGTAATTTGTCTGACAGGAGAGTAAGAAATCACGAAGGCGAAGAAATGGATAACAAGACAACCGCACACCCGCGATAAGTCGAATCTTACAAACACACAAACATACGTCCAGACGATTGACCGGAAAACCTTTTCAAAAAACCCGTAGACAGCCGCTGTGTACAGCGGTACATCAACCGAGAAATGTTGGGTACCAGTAGGTCACAAAGGGTTAACCAAGCAGCCCGTGCGATGGGGTTCCGTCCCAGTGTAGTTGATAGCGCTCCCTGACCTAACTTGTGTACACACCAGCAAGGCACTGCGAGCCACCTAGCGTTCTGTGTGTGTTTACTAATCAGCGCATCGAACCGCGCACGTGGACCTCCTCCTGTGATGCCGTGAAACTGTATGCATACATCTCCACGAAACGAGTAGCGCAAGGAGGAACAGCCGTACACCTGCGCTCGGTCATGCGGCTGTCCAACCCCATTTGATGGGCACAACATCACGCTCAAGAGCGCGCTACATTGGGTCACGAGCAACCGCGTCGAATGGCTGGCGGGCATCACTACGGGGCTGACGGCCGTGCCCACTGCCGTGGCTTTCGCCATTCTGGCGGGCGTGCAGCCGTCCGTGGGCCTTCGCGGAACTTGGATTATCATGCTTGTGATGTCTCTCTTTGGAGGTGAGATGTCGTCGTCTCATGCTTACGAAATGATGTGGTTTGTGTCTTGGAATTGTCTTTTTGTCAAGTATTTTGTAGCTCGAGATAGTCTTTTCGTAGCGCGGTTGAAGCAGTACGCGGGGAACGGTGGTGTGGTCCAATGCGTGCGTGTCATGAGGTGAGGTATTCGTGGGAAGATGGTGCGATTGTTCGTTACTCAGTATTGAGCTCTTCTTTTGTTTCCCCTCGGTCTGTACTCGTTTTTCACGGCTTGCTAAAGATTAAGGACAGGAACATCGAGATGCTCAGTGACGACGCGTGGGTCAGTGGGGCTCGACTTGTGCGCGGCATCAGATACTCGCTGGACGGTGGAACATGTCCAGCCCCCATTGAGCGGCTTCCTCTCCTCCTCGTACACCGACCTGTCCCACACGACCGATTCGACGACGTGCAAAACGCGGGGGGAACCTCACCCATACACTCTTGATCATCCCTCGCACCCCCCCCCCCAATTTCC